AAAATCTTCACTATAGCCTTATAGCGAAGTTGAGGTCTAGGACATAGAGTTCGTTATAACAAGAGTTGACTGTACATCTAATAATTAATGTTTAATTATTGATTTTTATATTATTTAAAATAACCTTCTTTTAGCTATTTTAAATCAATAGTTATTCATATATTAGTACAGGCTGCATTTTTACATATTTTACAGAATAAAACTTCTTTTTCATTTTTTTTTATAATAAAGTTATGGGTATTTTAATATTCAAATTAGATTCCATTTAAGATTCTCTTTTTTTGTCTTTTTCAATACTTATATTCTTATCTTTTTATTATTTTTAGAGTTATAGTCAAGTATTTTGTAATATCAGTCATATTAATAAATGAAATTTTTTGCATATAGAAATCATATACTGTACACATATGCACATTGTGCACATGAATATTAAATACTGAAAAGATGTAAATTTTCTGATTTTGAACGAGAAAAAATAATTGGTCTTTGAAAAGGTGATTATAATAAACAAAATATTAAGGAGATTCTTGATCATTTTAAATCAACTCATATAATAAAACAGTAAATCTGAAAACTGAGGTGTTATGATATGAGGATGTTTTGCAAAAGATAACCTTGATCCTGGTAGTATTACAGGTTCGGTATATAAGAAAATACTTAACTTTTTACAATAGTTTGGAAAATAATTTACAATATATTTCTAAAGATAACAATGCACAGTCCATAGAGCAGGAACAGTTAAGAAGATAATACGGTATTAAGTCTTCCGCGAACATCTTGTGAGATGTTTTAGAAAGGAGAGTTCGGGTACACAAACCTCATCCAAAAAAAATATTTGAAAATTAATGAACTTAGGTTTTGCCAAGAAGGGATTAAGCTGTAATCGATAACCATGGCAATCCAACTAAATATTAATAAAAGTTTACGTTTTCTGGTTAAATAATATAAAATTTTTTTTGTAATAATTCTTGTGACGTTCAATAAACGATGAAAAAAGATTCTTTTGGCGAATGAGGCGACATGAATCTTCTATTTGGATTGTGGAACTAATTTACTTTTTTTTAGAAAAGTAATCTACCTATGCGTAACCACAAAACATTTCTCTCATTTAACTTTGAAAAAATAAAAAGATCTATAATACTACGTAAAATAGGAGTAGAGTGCGGAAAGGATTAGAACACGGTTCAAATGTTTTTGGTGAAAAGACATTCAAATGAATGAGAAAGAATTGCAAGTAGATTGAACCGTATATCTGACGTGCTATATTCCTGAGAACATTTAACTTTAGGGCTAGCTGTTGTTTTTTAGCATCACATAAAGATTATATATTTTGTTTTACTATAAAAGGCCCTTTAATTTGTGCTTCGATATTAAATGGATTAGATAAACATGTTATACCCCATATTTTCGGTCTCGCGGTTCCTGCCACTTTTAAATGTTGAGGATTTTATACATAATTGGGTGCTCCGAGGGATTCAATCTATCCCTTTAATTGCTAATCAAATTAAAAAAAAGATTATGAAAACGTAAAAAGAATTGACCTATCAATAAATCAAGATAAATAGGGATAAATTTTTCTTTTGTTTTCTCTCTCTTTTTTTCTTTTTTTTCTTCGAATGTAAGGGAAATGACCTTATATTCTTCTCCAGTGATCATAGATACCGATCCCGGTAATGCATAAACTTTCTTGTAAATGATTTGTTTATATATTTTAATTTCGAATTGATCGAATAAAACAGGTATCGATGACGCACTCGCTTTGTCTTTGGCCCTAGCCTCGCCTCAATTGGATATTAAAGCTATCACGGTTGTATTCGGTATGGTATGATTCTTTTTGATATGATTCATCAAGGTCACATTTAATAACTTGATTTTTTTTTTTTTTAAAAAAAAAAAAAAGGCAATTCAAGTATCAAGGACACCACAAGGAATCTCCTAACTTTATTTGATGTTATCGATAAGGAAATCGAATACTTAAAAAATGCATCACCACACAACAATGATGTTCATCCAGAAGAATGGGAAAAGGAAAGACGTATACTTTTAAATCGATTTGAATGGTCAAAGCCCGTGGTCGCGATAGGTTCGTGAAATTCGTTTTTCATTCAACCTTTTTCTTTTTTATCCATCTAATTATTTCTGTATCAAATTAAAGGAGCGGATAAACCCATGAAAGCTACGGAACATCTTGCGGTTGATTTTCATGGCATCGATGGATTTGGACAAATACATACCACGGTAATTTAATCAACTCATCATGATAAAATTATTTACAACAATCTTTTTAACTTTTTTTATTTTTATAAAAAGCACCCCCATTACACGCCAAAGGATCTGAAGAATTTAAAATCGAATAGATACGAGATGTCGTCTCGAGATGCGATCGATGAAATCTTAATCCAATTAAAGAATTCACCTCCATTCACGATTACGATCATCGCTTTGGGACCTTTGACGAATCTTGCCTTGGCCTATGAAAAGGATAAACGTACATTCTCTCGCGTTAAACAGATCATTTGTTTAGGAGGTGCCATTAATTCTCCCGGTAACACGACTCCTTGCGCGGAGTTTAACATTTACGCGGATCCCGATGCCGCATGTATTCTTACCGAAGCTACCAAAGGTTTCTCTCCATCGGTAACCATCCAAAATAAGATCGAAATGTTGCATCACAGGGACCATGTGCCATTACATTTAACCGTGTTACCCATAAATGGTATACATTTATATATGTGATATAATATTTTTTTTTTGACATCTTTTAATTGTTTTTCCTTTTTTTTTTTAAAAAAAAAAATAAAAAAAAAGTATCATGCTCATTTTTGTTATCAAGCAAGGTTTTTACAAATCACGTTACGTCTTTAAATACACCTCTCAGCGTCTTTGTGACCGCATTTATGGATTACGCGTTTAACAAGATGCGAAATTATTATGGAATTTATAGTCTGGAAATGCATGACCCGGTCGCGGTCGCATTTGCGATCGACATCTTAACAAATAAATCTCCGGTATACACCTCGGAATTTGTTGACATGAAGATTGAAACTCAAGGGATCTATACAAGAGGAATGACCATAGTTGATAGTAGACCGAAACCTCCTTCATTGAATTTGGAAACTTTGGAAAGAGATTTTGGCATTTGGGGTTACCTTTATGCGACCAATGTTGAAATTATAACTTCCTACGATTATAAATTTTTCATTGGCGATTTTTTAAAGAGAGTTTTTAATGTCGATTTCTTTGAATATTAAAAAAAAAAAAAGAAATTAATAATAATTATTTTTTTTTGTTTATCCTTACAATTATTTTATTTTTTTTAAAAAAAAAAAAACTAAAAAAACCATCATCTAATTAATGTAATAATATATTTTGGAAATATAATAAAAGTTTTGTTTATCCCCTTGATACCTAAATTTAATCAGAACACAATTGTTAAATGGAATTTTTTTTTTTTATTCACGCACTTAAAAAAGAATCGCAAATCTCTTTCACGAAATGACCAACTTTTTCAAAGTCTTCCATGTCCGTGTAGATTTGTGCGCTAGCTCTGATGTACCAATGACCATTATGTTCAAATATCGCGACGGCAAAATTATAATTATTAAACATTAAATTCATGAATTTCCTATCCGAAAATTCTTTATTTGATACAGGAATTGGTAAACGAATGTTAACCATGTTTTGTATAACACTTTCCGGTCCAATTATTTCCGTACCAAGGATAGAAGCAATCTTGTTTCCTCCTTCAATGGCCAATTTTTTACAATAATTACGTATCTTTTCTTCACCACCAATTTTCTCTCGAAATTCCAAAGCGGCGTGAATCGTCAAGTAGGGACTAAAGAGGAAAAAAAAATCATCCTTTCTAAGCGATCATTAAAAATAATAATAATAATAATAATAAAAAATGATATGTAATAAAAATCTCTCTTGCCTGAAATCTTGAGTTCCAGTCCAAGAAAATTCGGGGATAAATCCATAAATTGTAAATGGACTGGTAACTGCGGGATGAACTTTTTTCTGATGTTTATAAGGAACATATAAAATTGCCGAACTCCTGGCGGTATATAACCATTTATGACAATTGGTCACAAAGAAATCTGGATTCATCTCTTTAATGTCCAAAGGAATTTGACCGATCGCATGAGCTCCGTCAACGATAGAAAGGATATCATTTTGTCTCAAGATTGGAATCAAACGTTGTAAAGGAAAGATAACACCTATTAAAAAAAAAAAAAATTTTTTTTTTTTTTTTTTTTATCATCATTCTACGATGCTTTTGTTCATTTATCAAGATCTTTTTTTTTTTTTGATCAACAAACCAGGTTGAGAAGATATGGAATCGATTACGGCCAATTTAATCCTCGTATTTGGTTTTTGATTTTCCTCTTGAATAACCTTAACGAATCTATCAATCAAGTCATCATCAGACAAAGGATAATTCGCTTCAATTTCAACCAATTCAACAGTTTCCTGATTGTTCTCCCGAATAAAATTTAATAATTCCCTTATGGAACTGTAAACCGTTGATAGGTAAAGTAATTTATCACCTTTCTCATATTTCAAACTTTTTAAAATCGCATTGATACCGGTCGTAGCATTCAGCACGAAAACTATTTCATTTACTTCAACGTTAATGAATTTCGCAACGGCCTCCCTAGCTTTGTGTAATTCCGATTCTAAATCCCTACGAATAAATTTATCTGGATTAGATTCAATCCTATCTCGATATCCTTGCAAAGCTTCCCTAACAACTTTAGGGTAGGTTCCGTATGATCCATGATTAAGCGGTATGTAATCATCATCCAAAAGAAAATGTGAGCGCATTGAACGTCCAAATTCAAAGGTCGATCCTTCGTTAGGCATGATTCTCGAAGAAAAATGGTTATTAAAAGTTGCGTTTATTATCAAAGGTAAAAAAGAAAAAAAGGAAAAAAAAAAGAAAATTTATTTAAAAAAAAAAAAAGGGGGAACAATATAGAAAGATGATCAACCTATTATACTACCCTTTAGAGGTTACCAATCGTGAGAGAATTTCTATGACACACATACATGCACATTACATACACATTACACGTATCAAAAAGTTATTGAAAACTTTATTTAATAAATAAAAGAAAGAAATATATATAAATATACACATGATGAAATTAAGGTTTAAAATCTTATGAACACCTCCGACCCGTTCACTTTGTGTAATCTGATGGTGGTAAGGAAGTGGTTGAAGGTTGATTGACGACCAAAGAAGCGGACTCCTCGTTGTTACTATGATCCATTGAAATTCTGGCGTGTAATCGAGTCGAATTAAAGGAATTCTTTGACGTATCATCCAGGAAGCTATCTTCGAAACTAGTGTTGGTATTGTTGTGATTTGACTCTAAAACTCGAGATTTTTCCACTATCGGTAAATTATGTTGATCAACGTTTTTCGGTTGCGTAGGAAGCGGGGAAAACCTTGTAAACCAATAAGATTTATATCTTACAATATAAATACATCCGATTAACATTATAACGAATATGATTAATAATATTATCAATACTATCACAGAATTAGATAAAGGATGTGACACGTTGAGATCATATGGCGCTGTGAGAGGTTCTTCGGTATCATGAATTTCATCATCATCGATTTCTTGACCAAACGATGAAGTTGATATGGAGAGGAATAAAATTGTATCAACAAAAAACTTTAAATGATACATTTTTCGTATCAAGAGTGAAAAAAGAATAAATGAAATTTCTGGTTGAAAAAAATAAACAAAAGGTTTTTATTTTATATATTGTGGCTATGTCCAATGTGATCTTCAAAGCCTCAATCACCCCGCAAAAAAAATAACCCCCCAATATATCATTTTGAGTCCCCGTTCCCGTTTGACTTCTAAATGTAAGAGTAATGAATAATAGGTGACTTTGAAAACGGTCAAAAATTGGAACGCCACATACGTTTGATTCCCGAACCAACCTTCAGCAAATTGATCAAAATTTATTACCCTAAATCAATTAATTTCGGTGATTTTCCGTTTTTTATTCTTGTTTTAGTTAACAATGTATTATTTCAACAAATGATGGTTTTGCGAATCTAAATTCATTTTACTTTTTTGTACGGTTTAGTAAAAAAAATTTGGGGTGTATGAATACGCTGGTCACGTTATATAATAATCATTAAATTTTAATAGAAGGTCAAAGGAATGAATCTATGAGTAATAATAACAATTCTAGAACCTTTGATTGACGTCGCTCAATTATACAATTATAAAGAATACACCAAAGATGAATGATAATTTTTTTTTTTGGAACAAAATATCGAAAAATATGTGCATTCATACCCCACTTTGATAACCTTTCTGGGTATTGCAATTTCATTTTTACTGATAGAGAATTTCCCGAAAAAGGAAGAAAGCGAACTTAGAATCGTAGAAAGCGTGTGATACATCTTTGCTCGAAATAATATCGCGGGGAAAATCCCGACTTTTGCCATTTGCTAAAAATGAGTTTTTCCCCGAAACCATGGTACGAGATATGTTCGTTTAGTACCTGCATATTTGTCCGGTTGATCTTGTGAAACTCTAATAACTTTTCTAGAATTTTGGCAAAAAAAAAAGAAACATTGCAAGCAAACTCGCTTTGCAGTTTATTCGTGCATACTTGCAAAAAAGTTTGTTCGATTGATCTTTTCAAAATATTGTTCAGAATGTTTGTGATGTATCAAATGGGTGTTAATCGATTTATTTTGTATATAGGAATTCACGGCCAAGTTTTATTTATGGTATATCTATTCCTATAACTCGCCTCGGACTTATTTATATGTTTAATGGAATCTAGCTAAAATGAAGTAAACTAAAGAAGGTGGGACTATGTGTATGTGAAATAACGCAGATTTACGACGTGAACTGCGCCTCTAAATCTCTAAATATTGAAAATTAAAAAAAAAAATGTCCAGTCCCTTAAACATGTTCTTTCGTCAATCTATTATGTCTTTGCAAGAAAGGATTTAATTTTAATTTTATCAATAATATTAACCAGAATATTATTGATTATGATTATTATGATTATTATTATTTTTTTTTTTTTAGAAGCTATTAAATACAAGTATAAATACAAAAAACTAAAATCATATCATTATTAATTAATATTAGTGGTGTCGGTCGTTTCCGTTATTTCAATCGTAGGTGAAGTATTTCCGGGTTGTGTTTGACTTAAATTCGTGGAAATGTTCCTTGGTGAATTTTCTTTAGTCGTTGCCTCATTTACAACATTTTCTAACAAAGTGTCATTAGTTTTTAAAGAAGAAGCAGCGGTACTTAAATTGGTAGAAAGAGAGGTGCTGATGGTGGTAGTATTTGAATTACGATCAATGGTACTCTTCTTCTGATCCGTAGCAATTTCTTCAATGACATCATCACCTTTTGAAATCTCGTCGGTACTACAAATAATCCCAGCGTCGGACATTCTCTTATTGTAACTTTCAGTGCTAATACTGCCTCTACTACTTTTACCGATAGAAGCGAATCCAATACTGCTAACATTACTGTAATCATCATTAGCGGAAACGATGCTATCACCAACCAATTTACCAAAAGGTAATTGTTTGATTTTTTGCGACAAAAAGTTGTATTCCTCGGGATCTCTTAATAAAAAGATTGGCTCCCCGGTGATTTCATTTCTCCCCAAGAAATTATCCTTATTTAAAACCATTATTTGTTCGGCTAAATCGGACCCATCACTTAGGGTACTATTATTATTACTATTCCCTCCAGAGAAGATTCTTAATGCTTCACTGGCATATCTACTATTGCCGCTCAATCTACTACTATTTCTTTTACTATCATTCGAATTTTGACCGCTATTAAAGAAACTCTTTTTCTGTTTCTTTTTAAGGAAATCCTCAGAGAATGAAGCAAAATTTGGTAACGAGTCCAAATATTCTTCTCTTTTACTAAACCTAACAGATGAATGAGTTGAATCTAAACGATCGGGTTTTTTCTCAAACGATTGTAGTGGAACTTTGGATTTACAATATTGAACGTAATAAGATATCGAACCATATAATTTTGTTAAGAATACTAATATGCAAGAAGATAACGCTAATATTGGGATTATATTTGGTAATATCGTGTACGCTTGATAGATTATCTGTTGGATAAATTTATGAAGAGAGGAAAAAAAGATTCAGTTACACATTTTTTTTTTTTCTTTTTTTTTATGATAGCGACAATCAATACTCACTAGGATTAATAATTGAGGAAAATCTTCGATTAAAATACTGATCGTGTTGAAAATAAATATATAATGCTCGGTTCTTTTCATTAAAGGGGCACTCAATCCTATTAAACCAGAGCATCTCGAGGACATTAAATTTAATGCTTCTAAATCAGCAACGGCAAAAATAGAGGTGAACACTAGGGCCGTTTTGGAGTTTTTTATCCACCATCTTGAAAATCTATTATGATCCTTAATTTCTCGACTTATTATTATGTATGTGAATGTGCAGTTTAATAATATCGGTATTACTATAAACGCGATGCTTGTTGGAGATATCCAGTGTAAATCATTTCCATGATTTATTATGAATGCAATATCTAATATGAAATCTATTATTATAAATGTAAACGTAAATATTGTTTTATTATTCGCATCGCGATCTTTCTTGCGCGCAATATAATATAGCACGAATAGTATTATGGATCCAAGTGCCACCCCTATGATTATGTAACTATATCTCTTCAAATCCGCTACATAAAAGAAGAATTGCTCAATTAAAACACACGTTACGATAAAGCAAAGACCCATCCTCTCTTTACTTACGTGTTAATTTTGCACCATAAGACGCATCTAAAAGGGACGTGAACCTTGCCATTGACATTGCGTTATGGTCTCTCTTTCTTAATAATAAATCTAGATCCTTGACGATTTGCGATGAACTAACGTCTCCCTTACTCTTTTGAACGTACACTCGAAACAAAATCCGACGTGTCGATGAATCTTTGTCAAGTTGATACTTACTCGTGGTTGATATACGAGTCGCGTCACATGGAATTACAAGTGATAATTGGTAAGATAATTCCTTTGAGAATTGACGTCGATCCTTGGTTGATAGGGACGTAAAATATTTTGTTCCCATGGACGATAGTCTTATAATTGCGCTTGTAGAACCGAGAAATGATTCATCCGTATACAACCCATTATTATCTAAAATGAAAAAAGAAAAGAAATTTTTTTTAGTCGGGATCATTTCCTTCAATTTTTTTTTTTTTTTTTTTTTTACGTACTGGTAGACAACCTCCAAATGTTTTTTCTGATACCCAATAGTGCTTGATCAAAGTTGGCATCTTTAACGAAACCATTATCAACCAAAATATAATACGGTGAATTTTTCCTATTAAAAGTGGTTTCCAACACATCAATTTCCACCGTTTGATTATCGATTAATCGGACGAAAATTTCCTTAATATGATCATTATTTTTACTATTAAAGGTTTGCCTTATAACATTATTATTCGCGTCAATTATAGATAGGTTCCCATTTGATAATTGTATGTTATTCGTGTATTTAATTTGTAATTTTTGGGTGGACATTAATGTGACGATTGAATTGATTGATGGAATGGTCGATCCAACAAACGCATTTCCATACCCTCCTGGACCTCCTGGAACCATGGAATTTCCTCCCTGGATCGTGCTATAATTTGAGAATAATGAGGAAGTAACTAACGTCCACTTGTTCCCATCATTCGCGATAACCCAAACCGTATTGTTCAGAAACACGCCAACATTTTTAGTGAATTGATATTGACCAGACGGCATGTTCCAATCACTATAAAAGGTTCCTCGATTACTGTATATTATTCCATTGATATCATTGTTTGAAGGAGTGTCGGTTAATATAATTAAACCTCCATAATATAAAGGCAACACATCCCAAACGAACACATTGACCGTTGAACCAACGGCCTCATCGGCGATAGTAAATTCCGTCGTATTTAAGATGGAACCCGAAGATAACAAGTCTATATTTACAAAAACTTTCTGCCCACTTGATCTTATGATATGTATTATACAACTATATCCGTAAGAATAATATGCTATATTACATTTATATATATCTAAACGTCTAACATTCTCCGTTGTTTGAGAATAAATTTGGAACGGACCCTTTAGGGTATTGGATGTCGAAGGGATGAACGCGATGTCAATGGTCCATGGGGGGATAAAATCTACATTAGACTTTGCTTGATATTGTGCCATCACTATTCCGTAACCTCCATCTTCGGTTGCGAAAACTTGGGTCAGGTTTCGGGTAAATTTATTTACGTTCATCAAGGTTCCCGATCCCACCGACTCGAAAGATCCCGAATCATCACTACGTAGAAAAGTAAAGAAATGATTGACGAGATGGTAGGTAAATGTAAAGAATGTTCACAAACATGACCTTAAACGTTTACTTACTGTATATTAAATTTTTGCCAATTCAATTGATCTAACCCTTGCTTATGACATAACCACAAGAATCCTCCTGAATTGATATTTCGTACGATCTCACTATCCGTGCATGCATCTTCTAATCCCTTGACACTATTTAAACAAAACGAGAACGCGTGAGAAATTAGGTAAAGACTTTTATAAAAAATATTTATATTTTTTATATTTCTTACTTTAGGATGGTTCCATCCCAATTGATTGTCATCCCACATAAATTGAAATT